ACTGAGTAGACCTCCTCAGCAGCAGGATTGACTTATATCCGGTTGGCTAGCCCCTTTCCTCCGGAGCTGCCAGTGTTTGGAGGTTTGTTAGATTTTGTTGTACATATTTTTATGGGTAGGCTGGGGCCCTGTCCCGCCAATCGTTAATTCTCTTAGAGGCTTGCAGACTAGTGTGTGGGGTTTACAACTACGTTATGGTCATGCTGGCCTAGTTTGTTGGTTTGCTGAAGCTTGTTAGTTGTGTGATGCATTGACTGGTTATATACATGTTTTTAGTTTTGGTATAGAGATCATGGTGGCCTTGACGGCCCAATCAGGACTTCTGTACTAGCTGACAATTTCTTTATATAAACTCTTGGGAGTAGCTGTTTCTTTTGTAGATCTGTTGACAGGGGCCTTGCCGGCCAAGGGCTTAGCTTTAAGCCGAGATATACTTATTTGATTTCTTGATTGCGTGTGGCTGCCATGCGCTAGTAGCAAATGGATCAGCAGGGTCGGCTCGGGCCTGAGTTTTGGCATTAGGAGCCAGTTGCGTCCCTCGAGTTTGGGGCGTGACACTAAGCTTCGGGCATAACTCACAGTCTCACACCCTAGGAGGATTGTCCTTGCCTTATAAGAAACTTAAGATCATTCTTCACCCCCTCACACCCAAATCTGAACATTCTTTATTTGGAAATTGGAATTCCATTGTCCGGTCCGGTGCATGCACGTTTATGGAGTACATTCCATTCCACCCCTACATGGTTCGGGACCTGGAGGTCCACATCGAATCGAATCTGATTCTGATACAGTGTCAAATTAATTTTTGAATAGTCTAATTCACACCTCAAAAATCAATTCAAAGAGACCGAGAAGGATTATCTAAACCTTATAAGAACTCGTGATGTGAGATTCATTTGCAAATTTTGTTTTGTGTGAACAAAGTAATTGTTAAATATTTTTACATCACATAAGTAATATAGCTATATGAGTGCCAGCTCAGTTTTAAGAATAACTAACAAAAGAAGTATGAGTAATATTTTTAAACAATAAAGAGCATATTGCCAGAATGGTCGATACGTGTACATGTACAACAATATGCATTAATGCAAATCTCAGTTTTCAAAAATCAAAATATAAGGAGGGAGATGTGCTAAGTTTCCATTTCAAACTATACAATTTAATACTCATCATTTTCCCACCATTTAAAACAAGTAAATGCAAGATATTCAGTGATCTTCATTCATAATTAATTATCTATTACAACGAGGGGGTGGAAACCAAGAACCGCTACTCCCATGATCTATTTTACATTCTCGGAAAAATCTTTTTAGCCAGAAAATTTGGTTGGAATAATTATTTATCTATATTATTTTACCATATTTTTTAATTAAAATATGGAAAAAAGATCAGTTTATTTTAAAATAAAAAAGATATTATACACTTTTAAAATTTTCTGGCCTAATTCTGACCAAATATTCTGGCCATTTAGCATTACCCAATAAATAAATACCCCCTCTGTCTTTATTTACTAGTAACATATTTTCTAATTTGATTTTTCTTTTTACTTGTCATTTTTGACAACTCAAGGAAAAACAATTTTATTCCTTCCTATTACACCCACAATTTATTAATGTTGAGTTAATGTATTTGAAAAATATAATGAGTAAATATGTTTAAAATTCTAAGTATCAATTAATAATATAATAAAATGATAAATTTACTATACCAATCATTATTTTTTTTACAGGGTGTACCGAGTCAAAATTTAACAAGCAAACAGATACAGAGTAAGTAAAAGCAAAAATGTTTTGAACTTTACTGAATTAAGAGCTTATTTGCATCATGCATGTGTATACCTATGTGTTTTTCCCGATATAATAAAACTCATTATTGAGTTTCCCACACGTTAATTTGTGGACGGGTGATAATATTTTTGAAGTTCGAATTATTTCTATTAATCAAATGATAGTCAAGAGAAAGAAAAATAAAATATGCAATTGCATGTGTAAGCAATAATGTTACGGGGGAAATTGAGTATATATTTTTAGTTCATCACTGCAGTCAAAGTGTTATCATCTCTTTTCTATTCTAAAGTTAAAATTAATTTTGTAGTGGTCCCAATATTGACCCCACGTGCCCTTCCAGCTCATCCATTAATAACAAGAAAAAAAAAATACATTTATGTGATTGATTGATTCATGCGGTTACTTCAACAACTTTTTTCCTTTAATTTTGCTAACCATACAAACTCTGGCTAAAGACAAAAGAATACTTCTAATTTCACCATAATCTCTGATTAAAGATGAAATAATACTTATCATTTCATTACAATTTTTATTGGTACACTAAGACATATTCACTCAGTGTATATAGCCACAAAAAGTGGAGCCCGGAAAGAGAAAGTGTATTTATTTTTCTATTTAAATGCATATCAAGAAGTATAAATTATAGGAACCACATATTATAAGTACTAAATAATATCCTGTCCCTTTTAGTTTTCTATTTACCAAAAATCCCTTAAAAATAATGTTTGCGGGATACATAGCGTTGTGCATGAGATACATTAGGTTTGATACATTCCACATAGCGGGATACATAGCGTTGTGCACGGGATACATAGCGTTTGATACATTCCACATAGCGGGATACATAGCGTTGTGCACGGGATACATTAGGTTTGATACATTCCACATAGCATTGTGCACGGGATACATTAGGTTTGATACATTCCACATAGCATTGTGCACGGGATACATTAGGTTTGATACATTCCACATAGCATTGTGCACGGGATACATTAGGTTTGATACATTCCACATAGCATTGTGCACGGGATACATTAGGTTTGATACATTCCACATAGCATTGTGCACGGGATACATTAGGTTTGATACATTCCACATAGCATTGTGCACGGGATACATTAGGTTTGATACATTCCACATAGCGGGATACATAGCGTTGTGCACGGGATACATTAGGTTTGATACATTCCACATAGCGGGATACATAGCGTTGTGCACGGGATACATTAGGTTTGATACATTCCACATAGCGGGATACATAGCGTTGTGCACGGGATACATTAGGTTTGATACATTCCACATAGCGGGATACATAGCGTTGTGCACGGGATACATTAGGTTTGATACATTCCACATAGCGGGATACATAGCGTTGTGCACGGGATACATTAGGTTTGATACATTCCACATAGCGGGATACATAGCGTTGTGCACGGGATACATTAGGTTTGATACATTCCACATAGCGGGATATATAGCGTTGTGCACGGGATACATAGGTAAATAAGGGATTTTTGAAAATTTTGAAATAAGTAGGAATAAATGGATATTAAGGTAAGTAAAGGAGTGTAGTTAAGGAATTTGTCCTATCAAGAATCATAAATAAGCAAATAATTTTACAAATTCACTCCTTAAATGCTTGAATAAAATTACTACTAGTATCATTTTTTTAGTAAAATGATTGACTAATAAACATGAGACAAATGAAGTAACAAATATGAATGCACAACAAAACATGCTAAACAGTAACTAAGCGAACCAAACTTTTTTCCTTGATTTTGGTAATTACTTTAGGAACTGTAATTAATTATCAATTAATCAATCAGTTAGGTACTACTTCAATAAAATTACTATCATCATAATGTCTTCTTTTTTGACTCATTTCTGGCCCCAACTCTGTAGAAATTATCTACAGTTCAAAGCTATCCTTTTGAGTACTATAATGCTTCCTTTACCCTACTTCTATCCATATCCTTCAGTTTCTTTACCTTTATTTCTTGCAGCTTTAGAAGAAGAAACGTAAACCTTCAATAAAAAAAAAGAGTTGAAGTTCCCTACACTATCATGTATAATTTTTTTATACGATCAGGTTAAATATATAAATCTTCATAACAAAATTGATATAAAGACATGAATATTTTTGTGTTGTTAGTACTTATAACTTAAATCGTGAAAGAATAAAGGAATTTGGTGGGGTAACATATATTGCATAGAAAATGACAAGTTAAATGTTGAAGGACGGCATTTTTTTTCAAGCATAAATTGAGGGGCCATATTTTAAGATATTTATTATGGTACAGTTGGGTAGATAAACTTAAAACATTAATGTATTTACTCACCTTCAACTAACTAACAATATGTAAAAAAGGCAAATAAATAAAATAAATAAATATGTACAAAAATCATAGTTGGATCAGCATTACCTCACGGGTGTTACAATTTTTTAACTAACTTGAAATTAGTTACATAAATTTAAGGATACAACAAAAAAGAAAAAAAAAAACTCAACCGTACAAACAGCTCAAGTACAAATAAAAAAAACATTAAGCTTAAGATTCCAATGCTTCGTATATCACGACAAAGCATGGAAGTATAGCCCTTGGATTAAATACGTATAATTCCTCGAGATTTGAGTAGATCCCTGCATGTCCGGATACCGAATCGTATACGATAGAGTCAGTAGCTGACAAGCTCGAACCAGAACCAGAACCAGAACCAGAACCAGAACCAGAGCCAGAGCCAGAGCAATTCTCCTCCTCTGTCGTGGGAGAAGCCCTCACATCTTTTGCGGTCTGCTTGACTCTGCCAGCAATGACCCGACACACGATCATCGCCCTGCGTCGGGCCATACCACTACCGAGACAATCATGGGCCCGCCCACTACTAGCAGTTGTGCGGACCCCATTAGTTTTGTTTCCTTGGAAGCCGTGGCGTATGGTAGTGCAAACTCCACAGCCGGGTACGGAGCCACACAAGCTGGACGAGTCACGTGCACCGAGGGTGCATGTAAGGCTCGTGCAGTAAAATCTAAGGAGCTCATTTCCATCAGCGGCGCATCTTGGGTTTTTCTTCCCTGTGGCGACTGCATGTATCTTCACCGCGTCCCTGCAGTCCTCGAACCGTTGGATCGTACGTTTGGTGTTGTGGACTTTTAATATCCGTTCGATCTTACAGATTGGATTATCCTTCTTGAGCCAGCTTGATTTGAAGATTATCTCCACTATGTTACGGCTTGAATCTTCCGGACCCAACTCTGACACTGGAAATAATTTATAAAAGAATTTATGTAAATAATCCTAGTTCAATCGCTTAAATTAAAATTAACCTGCAAACATATAACATATATATCGACTTAGAAAAGTAAACAGTGAGTTCAATTAATTATAATTTACCGTGAGTTCAATTACAATAAGCTATATAAATTTTTATCTCACAATTTGTTTTAGTCATGTCAATTTCAACATTCAACAAAAAAATATGTGAGCAAAGAAAACGAAAGAAAATAAATGGGGTCTCATTTCTAGTTGGTAAGATATCAAATCTTAATGGCCAACCAGCAACCAATTATGGGAGTTAATGTTTATTAACTAATTATGAAATTATTTAGGAATAAGCTATTCTAGAATTAGTACTATGATAAATATTTAGAACTTAAATAGCTAAACAAGATAAGAAAACATTAATTATTAAGTGGAGTGGGCTACCAAATGCTGATAATTCAAAGACAAGTAATATCTCAGTATTAAAGATTCGATTCTTCTTATGTATGCATTCTTAATTAAACAAAATAAAATAATCTTCAACATTATTAAACTAAAAATATTTTAATTAATTTTAGTATGAGTAATTTAGGGTGTCATATTGTTGTCGGTGTGACATATGATAATAAAAAAAGAAAATAATTATTTGCCAATTAAAATTTTCCTACGTGTAATAATATATACTGAATAGTTCTTTTCAATTTTATGAAGAGGTAGTTGGCAAATATTACTCTAGATGGTCCTTAAAATATTTAAGTACTGGTCCACAGAAAAAAAAGGCAAAGTATTTATTGGGGGTTCAACCAATGAATCACAAATATATATTTAATTAACGTACTTTACATTATTATTTTATAAAAATTGTATTAACAATTCCGTTTTGCTTCCACTAACACAATTTGAACTTTGCCTAAAACAATTCAAAGCTTAAATGTTGTCTAAAGCTCGTCTCCTTTTACTAGATTGAAATCATGCTTTTCTAGGAAAAATATGAGCAAATTAAGTAATTAAAAACGAAAAGTTAAACATTTGACTACTCAATAAAAAAATATCTAAATTTACTAGTTAATATACATATATAATTAATGTGTATATACTATATATCTATCAATTATATATTATATTTGTGTGGACTAGCTTTATGTCACTTTTCCAAAAGAGATTTTCCACACAACCCCCACCCCCACCCCCCCCTAAGCTAAACAAAAGGAAAATGAATA